CATTGCAGGTAAGCAATATCACTATTAAAGCATACATTTTAGGTGGAAATTTCGATGACACAAACAAGTATGCTCGATTAAACTCAGATGTACTTACATATATTCGATATGAGTATCTTTCGAAACTATCAGTAATTCTTGAATACCAACTTAGTAGCTCTAGAACGCCTTTGATGATCTTAAAGCTAGTAGCGGAGTTTTCTCACAATGCTATGAGTCGACCTCACGATGTCACTTTGGAAACATACTAGCATCGAATATATTTTAATTTAACTCTACCAACCTATGGTTGGAAACCCACTATGGCTGGGTATAAGAAAATGTATTTGCTGATGGAATTTAGCATTTTTATTATATTATAGTGGATAGTTTTTCTACCGTTTCACGAAGGATATGGATCTTAGAAGAGACCATGCATGCTAAGGCTACAGTCTCATCCCCAATGGCGTTCCGAAGTCTTTTATTTCAAACTAACTAAAACACATATATGAAGATCGCGATTGATTGGCACTTTGTTTAGTTGTAGTCTTCTTTAGCTGTATAGCGTTGGTTTGACTTCGTTTGCGCAACTTGATCGGAGTGACAAGGAGGCCTTGAAGAACCTACCTAATCCTGCGTCCTTTGCCATTATATTCATGATGATTTGGTGCATCATCATTGAGATACCCCATCTTTTAATAGAGTTACAACTTACTAAAGTGACGAATGAAGGCAATCCCCTTAACCAATTTTCTTTTTAACCATTGTGGTATCATTCCTCGATTCTAGTTTTTGTCAGTTGTTGGAAATCATCCTGAATATTATGGTAGAGGGCGCATGACTAGGTCGTTCAAAAGGGTCTCCCTGTCGCTGCGACCAAGTTGCTAAATCGAGGTCAAATAAAAACAAACTAAATGCCGTCTATACAGTTGGCAAATGATCTTTTATTTCGACAGCATAATTGCTGTAGTCTGAAAGTGTGCCTATGGAAGTGTTTGCCCAAAGTTAACTAAGATTTAGAATGGAACAGAACAACAATTCTAGAGCTAATAAAGTGCCAATAAAACGAAAGAAAATTCATTGGCCACTGGTCCCAAATGAAATGAATAACAACTTGGGTCTACTCTTACAAAACTGCAGGAAAAGCATGTAAACAGTCCTTTCGGTAAAGAAAGGTGCAAAGGTACTTTAACTCTCACCAATCAGTGAATCTTGCCTCGATAACAGATTTACTTTCGAAGTCGCGTCCCTATGGCATCCCCGAAACCATCCATATACTCATCACTTTGGCTTTACTCTGCTCCGATTTTACAGGGAATGATCTTAAATAATCCGATCTCTCGGTGTAACACTGGGAGTAAACTTGGCCAGAATGCCAAACAAGTAATGGGAGGATCTTTAAGTCTGCCGGATCTAGCCGAAGATGAAAAATAGATGAATTTTAGGAAACCCTTTAAAGATTGCTCTGCTTTTCGCACCAAAATTTGGGTTGAGGACAATCGTAAGTTAGTCTCAATGGTAGGCAAAAAAAAATCACTCAGCTTGCAATTGGGGTTGGTCATATTGGCGGCCAAGTCTTCGGAGCACCGTTCTCCGACCATGACGGATACAAAACGAGCATTCGTATGGGACCTTGTGGGAGAAATGAGGCTTGCTAATAGAGCCCTCTAAAATGAGTTAAGTGGAAGGCCTCGTAGTGGAGTTGAATTTCACTCTTTTTTGCCTCCTTTTGGATCTCGTCTCACCAGCTAACCAGCACTCCTAACAAAACTCGAAATCGTGTCGGGTGCATCAAGAGGTAACGTTCACACTCCTTCACACAGCCACATATGCTAATAGGACACCTGAAAGATGTGGCTTTTAAGGAAAACCCATAATTTTCACTTAAATCGACGGTACTATCTATTTAGTAAGTAGGTACCTAAGCCAACAGCGTAAACTGAATAAAGCCTAGAATATGCCTAAATCTCGCCATGCCTTTGCAATTTACGGATAGTTTCTAAACCTATTCGTTTGATGTATGTGGGTGTTGCGACCGGGCGACTGAATTACCTCATCTGGAGACATCTATGGTGATGTGAAGATGAGGCGGAACTGTATCTAATGAGGTGTCTTATCTAAGGGATAATTTAAACCATTGCTCACCAGCACCTCCTGCGCCATCTTGAGAACTAGATCCTTCCGGATCGACTTGTCCGTCATGTTCATCGCTTTGGTATACATCGCCAGCAACTCATGCTCGGTGAGTCTGCCTTTCTTCGTCTCGAGCAATTTGCGCACCTCGTATCCGGGCAACGGAGCTCCCAACACCTGCAGAGCATCCTTCAAGTCGCTACAGTCTAGAGTTTTGTTATCCCTAAAATCCGGAAACTTCTGGTCAATCAATTCCAGCTGTTCCTGCGTGAAACCGTTGTCACAAGCCATGCTTGTCGAGGAGCAGGTTGAAATGAATGACGTGATTTATGTGACAGTATCCACTTTGTTCACTGCTCTTGATTCAGTTCAGACCTGACCTGTCTCGGCTCGAGCAAGAATGCCAGAAAGCCAAGGCATGGATCACGAGGCGGTGCCTTGGTGTGTGCGTGGGATCGAGTGCTAGAATATCTGAAAGGACCAGAGACAAAGAAAGAGCGAGCAAGAAGGTAGGAGTGCTGAGCCTCAGTGAGAAATGGTGAGTATGATTTGTGTGTCTGAACATGGTTCTCTACAATTCTAGTTAGTCCGACAGCATGCATTTCTCTGGCACAGTGATTGCAATTGCTCAACTGGCTAATTGGCTTGTCGAGAATGTGATTCACTATCAGTACAGCCTGTGTCTGCCGATGCGCTGCACACACCACTAACACCACAAGTTCCGTCAGCCACAAAGGTCTGACGTGCAATGGTGTGGACCGGGTTAAAACAAGATCCTTCCAAACTTCGCGGATCCCTTCTTCTTGGCGACATTGAGTAAATACAGAGACGCTAATCGGAGACTCATTGCCTGATCCTGTCAGCAGAGCCAATCAGAGCGTCCAAGTGTCATGACTTGAGCAGAAGACTAGCCAATTTTTCTGCGGGGGCGGGCCGAAAAATGTTATATAATGAACGGTAGGTAGCCGCCGGCCATCCATCTCTGCTCGGTCAGTATCGTGTTACCGAGGCCTACTGTCGGGCATCTGGTACCTGGCTACTGGTCACTGATACCGGATCTCGAGTCCGCGAGACTGGTGCCATGCTACCTCCTGTCACTCTCTGTCACTCTGACTACCTGTCTGTCTAGAGGCGTTGCGGCGAATGCGTCTCAGTCTTGTGGCATTTGTCGCCCTAAAGAAGCACGAACAGAGAAATCAACAATCAATGATGAGTAGGCAAGATGTTACGATGTGAACTAACACATACCGAAGTCAAGATCTGCTTACAATTGCTTAAGCCCCTCGTGAATACATTCTCCTTGTGCTACCTGTACGATCGATAATTGTAGTCATGGCAAACATTTCATTTAGGTCTGGCTTGTGACTGTCTGTGCTACGATTTCGGAGCTATCAAGATTGTATGGCGAAGAGTTAGTGACTACTATGGCTAGATGGGATTTGGGTAATCTCTTGAGGTAACATTGCTGTTAAGGCTTTCAATTCGCAGGAAAGTTCAACATAAAAAGATTTCAATCGAAGGTATGAAGACCAGGATGGTGTGACCTTTTGTGTGGTCGCAGTCTTCTTTCGTTGTATAGAGGTTGTTTGACCTTGTTTTCGCAACATGGTCATATTAGTAGGAAGACTTAGGTAGGACTTAGGGAATGTACCACGTCCACGGTTTAACTTTGGAAATGATCATGCAGACAATAGACTCCGGACTAGATGCGTTCCTCTAAGTTTTCCTACCACTATGACCAAGTTTCAAAAACAAGGTCAAACAACCTCTATACAACGAAAGGAGACTGCGACCACACAAAAGGTCACACCATCTTGGTCTTCATACCTTCGATTTAAATCTTTTTATGTTGCACTTTCCTGCGAATTGAAAGCCTTCACTGCAATGCTACCTTAAGATATTACCCAAATCCCATCTAGCCCCAGTAGTCACTAACTCTTCGCCATACAATCTTGATAGCTCCGGAATCGTAACACAGACAGTCACAAGCCAGACCTAAATGAAATGTTTGCCATGACTACAATTATCGATCGTATAAGTAGCACAAGGAGAATGTGTTAACGAGGGGCTTAAGCAATTGTAAGCAGACCTTGACTTCGGTATGTGTTAGTTCACATCGTAACATCTTGAAGTCGACGGCTGATTCCGTGGCTCTTATATAATTATCTGAGGTATATCCAGTATTGCGTACTCTGACTTACACACGCACATGCAGACAGACATACACTCGAATGAAGGTGTCCTGATTAATATGAAATAGAACTAACCATATCATTGTATATCCATCTATATCTATGGCTTTTAGTTATTAATTATGAGGGGGTATGGCATGTAGGATAGAGTCTAATAGTCTTCTTGACTTAGGGTTAACATGAAGCTTTTGCTAGAATAAGTTCCAGCTCTGACGACGTTTGTTAAATGGCATTGAAGACGAAAGCTCAGCCAATTTTAATCCGAAATGAAGGAAGGATGTCTCGTAGACTGCATCAACCTGAACAACATGAATCAGCCATTATCTTGCAATGAGATCAACCTACGAATCTCTTCTTAAAATGATTCGAGGAATCATAGATGAGTATTTCCACAAGGCTATGAATATGCCTGCTTATGCCTATCCATGTATATGCTGGAAAACTTAACCATTAGTCCTTTAATTAACTTAAGCGACCTAGAATAGCTAATTTCTTATTCAAGACTTACTGATAATCGCGAATACTACTAATTCTGAAAAAAAGATGGAGAGCGACTATCATTTTCTGTTATTAATGCTATTTCGTTGTTTAACTTCCATCATGGACATTACAAACTCCTGCCATATCGTAAAGATACTCAGTTAACCAAAAGGTTTTTCGTGTACCTACTAGACCTAAGTTGTAACCTCGCCAGAGCCTCATTATCACCCCCAACAGGATTACAAACTGAGCCATGGGCACCGGAGTGATTAAGAGTCACGGATGCTATTGTGTCACAGAGAAGAAGTAACATTCAAGGCAAGCCCAGCTTTTTAAAATTCCCATTTATAGTGAAAGTAACTATGCAGCAAACATGTATTTGCCATAAAAATCAACAACCTCATTAATCTTCAGTATAAATAGGTTTCAAAGCTATCAGTTACGAAACACACCGTGATTTTATGTCACATACTTTTTTCGCTGATCTCGCTTTCATAATCTGATCAGGGAGTAATAGAGATCAAAAAGAAAGTACCACACACCGCAACCTCTGATATAATATTCATGAGTATTTCCAGCTTTTTATCTTTGATGAGTTGTAACTCGATGCCAAGAATGGTGGTTATTACGGAAGATGATAGGTAGGATGCCGCTGAAATTTCCAAGGCTCATCAAGTCACCATTTCAATGCATTAAATAATCATGACTACTACGGCGGATGACGTAATATACAGTAAGTTCCTTAAGGTGTCTATGACGCCACTAATAGGTTGAGAAAAGGAGGTCAGACCAATTCTAGAAATGAGTTTCCTGTAACTTCGTGAAACACATCACATTTGGCTAGTTGGTGTTACAAAGACTGACAAATCTGGCAAATGTTGAGCATCGGGACCAAGACTTGAGATGACTAAGTAGAAATCTGGTTAAGAACAATTATTCACGATGGCCGGTTGACTGATAATGTAAAATAGGATGGAGAGAAATACATATTAGAGGCTAGATAAAAAAATAGACTACTCTACTAAAGTCCTTATTCTGCCATCGCATAATCTGTTGAAGAAGACAGACATATTACTGAGAAGACGGTATTGCCTTCTTTTCGAGAAAAATCCTACCATTTCTCC